GGTCACATGACGAATACACCGGCATTTGCAGTGTTTTCGGCACTTCCCGACACCCCAATCGCGCACATCCCGTTTCCCTCGCTATTAACGGTGTTTCTTTTGGGTAACATGCCGAATACACAGGTGGGCACAGTGTTTTCGGCACTGCTAAAACCCAAATCGCGCACATGCCGCAAGAGAGCATTCATGTCGGCACCGTAATACACAGTAATAACGTCCATCCCGACCCCATTCCGTTCACGTAGAGCACCCATGCCGGAACCGTAATAACGTCCATCCCGACCCCATCCGTTCACGCAGAGCATCCATGCCGGAACCGTAATAACGCCCACCCCGACCCCATCCGTTCACGCAGAGCATCAGTATCAGTGCCGGATCCGTAATAACGTCCACCCCGACCCCATGCGTTCACGCAAAGCATCCATGCCGAAACCGTGAGAACGTGCACCCCGACCCCATGCGTTCACGCCGAGCATCCATGCCGGGACTGTAGTAACGTCCACCCCGACCCCATCCGTTTACGCAGAGCATCCATGCCGGAACCGTAATAATGTTCACCCCGATGTGAAGCATGATGCACAAGTTTGTTTTGACAGACCGACATGTGGAAGGCGCAGCGAATTTGGAAACAAAATGCAACTTTTGCACGCCGTCGGAGTGTCGTGCAAGACACGAATCACTCGGCAGGGACGACGTTTTCAGGATTCCTTCTTGACTTGGCGCACGCAACCAATACGCCTGGCGCGTTACATGGTTGTAAGTAAGTAAGTATGTAAGTATGTAAGTATGTAAGTATGTATATATGTATGTATGTATGTATGTATGTATGTGTATGTATGTACATAAACATGGATATCAACCAACGAGTTGACTGACTGACTGGCTGAGTGACTGACTGCACTGACTGAGTCTGTGTAGGAGAATAGTGGGCTGTATGACTCTCGCAGTACTACATCTTCAGGCACAGGGCGCAAGGCAAACAGAAAACATCTGCCCTACATTAAGCTGAAGCATCCCGCCACAATCCGGAAAACTATCTTGTGGTCAATCGCCCATTTCTCGTGGACAGCACAGGTAGACTAGCGATGTTTGTTGCGGCGACCACTACCTCTGTGCGGATCCCTGGATGTCCCTGGACACTCCGGACAGCCACCGCGAAATCTGCACCGACGGTGCGTGCCCGAGAAGGATGAGCTGACCGCATGTCCAAATCCTGCCACGAATCGAGGTTTGATTCCGACATCCACCACACTACATGTAATCCAGAGTCCGCTGTGTCTGCAACACTATCATTCCTGTGAGACATGATCACGACTGCATGACAAAACCAGACTGGTCTGAAGGCGACATCGTCTCGACCTCTTCCATCAAGTCCTGATTGTATTCAGTTCTCTTCCACGCGAGGCGTACTCCCGAATCTTCGGCTTTTCGGATGTGAAAACAGGCAGGACTCCTGTTTGGTCAGGTCAGGCCACCTACTCCTTGTGTACGCATGCGTAGTTGGCCGGAATTGTGAACCTTGCTATACTCTGCTGTTCATCTTCTTTTTTCCTTTTGGTCGGTGCAGCTGTTCAGTTCCGAAATCACTGGACGAAGCTTGAAGCCTTTCTTCCGCCTGAGCGGCAACTCGTTGGAGAAGTACGCTGCCATGTCTTTAACACCAGGGCCAGTAGTGCCGTGCTGCCGTGGAAAATAAACCTCTGACGGGAAAACCATGGCGAGTCGATTTCAACCTTCCGCGATCCATCCCTTTTCTGTTAGGGAGTTGATCCCAGCCCAATTTAGCATGTGTGGCCTTGGAGCAGAAAAACCATCGGTGAACGTGAATGGAGAGCAGTGAGAATCTTAAGCAGGCAAACGTAAGCCACATGTATTCCCCGCGCGTGCCATGGACTCCCAGCTGTGACCCCTGGACGTCTCAACGCGCTTTCTGTTCCAAGACTTGCCAGCGACGCAAAACAGTCGAAGCCCCAAGTACAAGCACCAGCAGGCGCCAATTCCAGGGCGTCTTGCTTCCAACATTACTGCCTTGGTGCACTGCACAGTACAAAATCAAATACAGATCTGCCCGTATCTAAGACTGTCGTTTGATCAGGCTTGGGAGCAAAACACAGAGAACAGCATGGCACAATATGGCGCAGCCGGATTTGCAGAGTTAGTATGCGCAGGGCGGATTGATTTCGCGGATGCTTAGAGAATCACGCGTGTGTGTCGGATTCGTGCAAAGGTTGGGCCTTCAGGAGGACTACTAGAAGACCACCTGTCCACAACCGCAACAACTTCAAATCCCCAAAATACTGGGTTCACGTGCTACATCGACTCTGAACCGTAAAAGACCTTAAACATCTAAACCATACCCTAGACCCCACAATCCCTGAGCCGTAAAAGTTGATGAACTCAAACTCACTTCCTGAATCCCAAACTCGAAGCCCACCACCCTGAACCGTAAACATCGGACACGCCAAATACCCTACATCTGTAAACAAACTGAAATCCCAAACCTAGCAACATTGGACCTTGGAGACTCTGAACCCCGAGAACGCGAAAGCCATAAACTCGCACGCGCAGTGCTGGAATCGTCATCCCTGCTTGAATCACTCTTTGATCCTACAGGCTACGGCGGCTTAGGGTTCCAATATGTTCCAATTCAAGCAGCCGAAAGAACAGTTTGCCTAGCTGAGATGTTTGCCCGGGGCGCGACCGCTGCGCGCCATGAACCTCGGCATCGTCTGCAGTGGCTGCATCCGCGTGAACTCTCCGCAGGGAACATTGACATAGGCCGAAGTCAGGCTTGAAATCCGACGCTTGTGCAGTCATCCTGTCTTCGCTGTGTTTCTCGACCTCGGCTCCTTCTGCTTACTGTGCATGAGGTATTCTTGTCTTCAAGCCCAAGTACCAGAACCAGTCGGACGACAGCAGCGACAGCAGCAATCGCTCAAGCAAAAACCATAAGATAATCCCACAAAAACACGAGCCATACACACCAGTACCAGGAGAGAGAAAAAGTTGGTAGAGGATCGCTGCAAACTGAGACAGCAAGCTCGAGCAAAGCTGTGGTAGGACGTGACAGTGGAAAAGGATATGAAGACGGCACCTGAGCAACAAAGGTGGAGGAAACAACACTCACCCAAACCCCAAACACACCCAAACCACAGCTCATCGACCAACCAATGGAAACTCTGTTCTATGCTGTCTCCGGCCAGAAAGTCCTCTGTGATCAAGCAAAATGAGAAGACAAGAGCAAACATTACGCGCACTCCTGACAACAGCACAAGCACAAAGGAGCAGAACTACCCACACATACACACAGATGCACACACCCAGAAAAAAGGAACATACAGATACAAAAACACCAGTACTCAAGCCTTTACCCCAACTATGACTTAGTCCTGATGGAACATGGCGTGGACAGCCCGACGATGCTGGTCTGTGATGCCAGCCCAGTGGACAGTACCACTCCCACAAACAGGATATCAGCCCTGCTGGTTTGGTGTTCGCGTTTGCATGAACTTAGCTACCCTCGCACTCCCACCCCCCCACGAGTACGTGTGTGTGTGTGTGTAGGTGTATGAACACAGTTTTCATATACATCTATCTCCGTGTCTTTACCTCTCTATCTATCTACCTACCGACCTACCTACCAATCACCTACCTACCTACCTACCTACCTAGCTAGCTGGCTATCAGCTATCACACACGGGCACACACGATGCGACTCTGCGTTCCTAGATCTGATTGTGGCACGAGAGTGGCTGTCCAAAGCTTGCATCAGGAGCCCGACCAAGAGCGTGCGTCGTGGCACAAGAGGCATGGCGAAGGCAGCACTCTACAAAGAAACCGATGACCACTCCTTTACACTCAAATCTGCTGGTCAGAACTCAGCAGGCATGCAGTGAGAGCACGCCAGGCTGTAGATGCACACTATCAGCATGCTTCTACTGAATCTACTGAGCGACTATGTGGCCGTGCTTTGAGCAGGAACACAAAGCAGAAAACCCGTGAGTTCCCCTGATGCCAACAATGCCTTCCTGATTCGAAATTTTGGCACCCTACGGCTGCATGATTTGAAGCGATAACATCGCGAGCAATCATGCCCCAATTTTCGCATAGCATCGCTGCTGACGATGCAAAAGAGTCAGAGGCGCGACTAAGTCTGCTGCCTCGCTTATTCCTGACTCATGCCGGCGAGGAATTCCGCTGCTGACCCGCCCAATCAACAATGACATTGATGCATCCCAGCGGTAGTCTGCCAAGAGCCTCGAGGGTTCACAGAGCGACTTCGGACTGGTTGCTGGCAGAATTCGTGCAGGCCAAATAAGCTGTCCGAGTCCACGAAGGCTTTGCGTGGTGACGCTTTTGCGTCCAACAACCTCGTCACAGCCAATTAAGCAACCCTACTCCATGAGCTCATCTTCCGATCCTTGTGGCTACACCTGCAGTCAGCTGTACCTTCATCGTACTCGAACACGATGAGCTCAGTGGCTGCATCTAATTTCACTATTCTGTACAGTTGTTGTGCGCAACTGTACATGGCCCGCTGTGAGGAGGGAGCGAGGCTTAACTTCGGTGAGACACAGCTCCTTCACCAGGACGTCTGGAGCCGCAGTATGCCTTCTGCCTCTTGAGGAAGCCCTCCAAGCGCCTGGTCGACCGGCACTTCTTTGTGTTATCTGCTTCAATGCATGCAGAGCCTGTCAACTTGCACGATTAGCCTCCGGTTTGCTCTGCTTCTTCCATGCCCGACTGAGCTTAGCAACAAATCGTGCGGTTCAAAACCGAAAAGCAACATCTTTCAACACCAAATCCTGCGAGGCTGTGAAAGAGCCGGAGGCGAGACACGAGCTAACTGCGCGTTGACATGTTGCGATGTCACTCAGCAAGCTAGGGCTGCAAAGGACATTCCTGTCCTGATGCCATGCGTTTGGGAGTCTGCGCCCGAAAGCACTGGCAAAAGTAGGCTCCCAGGATCGTGGACATTGCATGGCAAACCTGCCTGCTTTCTAGGCATCCAGATCGCTTCCAACTGCTGTTGACCTCAGGGGCGGCTTCAAGCCTCCAGAAAGCTGTAGGTCCGTAGGTTCAACTGCAGCTTTGCTTGAAGAGCTTGGTCCATCGCACCGGCAGGTAGCCATCATTCTGTGCCTGCCACGTGCTCCAGAGATTACTCTGGCAGTCCTTCCCCGGAGAATGTACGCCACGGCTGGCTGCGTTGTGCCATATATAGGTATTGTTCCGCTGTGCGCAGTTAGCCTGTGCATTAAGAGAGGCTCCAATGAAGACACACCTTGTCTGAAGCCTTTCTACCTGCAACCGACTCCCGGCAGACTTCGCTGATTCGCACATCTTCCGGGCCTCTCTGTGTGCCCACCATCGGCTGAGGAAGCCTCGCCGCAAACCATAACATTTCTATCCGGGTGAAGCAAACGGCGAAGCTTTTGCAACATTGAAGATGTCTGCGAAGGAAGCAGCAGCAAGTAGCTTTTCACTTTCTCACCGTGCCTTGCGGCTCTGCCAACTCAACCTGGGAAGTCCTGAGGCGATATGAAACGATGAATTCGACTGGCCACGAGATCTTATTCAGGGATGGAGCGGGCAAAGGAATTATGTGTCTCGCTAAACTCGCAATATGCAGCTTCGAGTTCTTGACACTTGCTGGAATCTTCACGCCAGCAGTCGGGGGCTGCACGGAATGTGATCACGCTCCGCGAACCAAGCGCGGAGGGATTGTGGAACATGCAACAGCACCTGCAGCAGGAGCATCCGGCACATCGGTACAAACTCTGCAGGTGGGGGTTGATGACTCGGTTTAAACACGTCCTTTCACCTTCTCGTGGTCTGCCATACATCGGACACAGCCCCTGAGCCTTTGACCTCTCAGTAGATCGAGCATGCGAAAATTCTCTTCTCCCTCCGTCTGTCCCTCTCTTCGCCCCTTCCTTGTGAAAAAAGAAGAAACTGCTGTCCTTACCAGTTTTTCCTATCAGTTACGAGAAGAAAGTGCTCTACTTCAAGCTGTCTGCTCTTGCTTGAAATTCGGAGCACGGAATGCGTACCAGAGGGCAAACTGGGAAGATGTCAGCGGTAATTCGGCGTGGCACCATGGTTGCAAGGATGCCGCCAGCAAATGCGGTGATCATCTGGAATTGTGCGCCTGTCAGAGCGACACTGTGGTCCGTTCAAGACTAGAAGCCTAAATGGACTCAAGCGTAATCCATGCAAGAGTTTGCAGGGTCGGACGGCACAGCTCATACAACATCATGCAGCACAACTTCAAGACCGTTCATGCAAGCCTTGCGATGGCAAAGGAGGGCTGGCTAGCCCCTCGTTGACCTGGCGTTGTCATGGAGCACAAAGACATTCTAGCACCGCACCCAGTCAAATTCAAACCAAGTCTAACAGTCTAACATTTTTGAGTTTATATTGGCTGTCTTGTGCAGTCCCGGATTCAGGATCTCTTCTGAGACCCCCCACAGAACCGCAATGCCGCCCTATCTTCAGTTTGGAATTCTGGTTTCAACGCTACCCCGCCAGGGCCAGGGTTTCAGTTTTGCTCCATTCACACTTTACACTTTCAGGTGCAGCCCACACTCGTCCCGCGACTCAACAAGTCATCACGAAAATGAGGATGCGGACACAAGAGAAACGTGCACGAAGACCGCCTCGTAGAGGAGACCCAAAGCGCGGACCTCCGCCTCTGTCTTCAGGGCCTGGGCGACATCACAAAATCGTATTCATGTCGATTGACGGTAATCAATCGTAGGAATCATCCAACTGAATGGGCGACGACAATGCTATGCAGCTTCACAGTCGAATGCTGGCAGGCCCCTCGGCTGCACAGTTGCAAGCTGACAGGCGCACAAGCGCACGCTGGCGATGTCGAATGCCTTGCCACGTTCGCTCAATATCCAAACATCAACCTGCGTCAGCAAGCTGCACGAACTTAAGATTGCTGGGGACCCACACCACCGGTGCCGCAGGACATAGAGCAGTCGGACCATGATCTGGCGAAAAATCGGAATGGGAAAGCTGCAGAGCCGATTCCGAGCAAGCAAGAGTACTGACACAGGTACGTAAGGCGACGCAAGGGAAACCACATGTGGGTACCATGTTGTAACTGTGAGAGAGCCGCGACCATGCACTTGCAGAATTTATGTGTGGGATGCTGCTGTCTCATACAAGTCAACTCTTTGCTCTCGCGATCCACAGGCCATGGTTGAAGGAATCTGCAGTGGGAGGATTAGTCTGCAGTGTCAACACTGGCCGGCAGGACTCCCACTGGGACCAAATGCAGTACATCCTTGGGCAAACGACAAGCATGTTTGCTTTCGTGGCTCGCGCCCGCCCCACTTCTACCCCGTTCTTTACTTCGCTTCAGACTTCTGAGCAGGCCTTAAATGGCCTTAAAGGCCTCCCCCCGGGTGGCAACTGTGCGCCCCTTCGCACAACCGCAGGTTCGGGCGTTGGGCCAACCTCCGAAAATGCTGCTCTAGTGAACCATCTCTCTGTCTCGATGCTCGGACTGCTCATCCCGGCACTGCCTCAGCTCTTAGTAGTCTTGCTGCTGTTGAGCTTGTCAGCTACTAGGAGGAGGTGCCTCCGCCCTGAGAGGCCAGTCCTTTCTTACCAGCGTGCGCCCACCCGCTTGCCGGGCACCGCAGTGGTTCCGTGAGGTCGAAGTCAGGACATTTCTTCGCTTTCGCTCCATGTTTCTCCTTGCCTTCAGTCTGCTCTCTAGGCGCTCCCAGTGACCACTCTGGGCTACCCTGCGACTCGTGGCACTTGCGAGGGCAACGCCCTGTCTCCTCGGCCGATCCAAGCCTGAAAGTGTGCTCGGATTGAACACACTACTCTGATCTTTCAAAGTACTGGAAAGGCACATTTCTGCTACCGCCATAAGCGTGACCCAACTGGCGTGTTGTGTTCGTCCTCCATGCGTAGCCTAATTCTTCATCTCGAACTGCAAATTGATTTCAGTGTTCATCTTCTCCTACATACTGTTACTACATCGCCTCGTGCCGTCTTAAAAGCTTCGAGCACCATGCTGTGCCAAAGTGCTCCGGCGGCTCAGCTTAGGCTCCGGACTCACATGGCCGACCACCGTTCAGAGCCTCGTGGATCACGTGCCGGAATCGTTCCCTGCGGTAGTGTGCAGTTCTGCAGCTTTCCCGTCGTCCCATGCTAGCCTCGTCCGATCCTGGTCTGAAGGCAAACTCATAAAAACTTACTGACAAGATGTCCACAAGAACGTGTAATCGACAGCACCTCTACGAACATACCTACCGGCATGGACTTCGGGCCGCGACTAAAACAGGCCATAGATACAGGAAGCCGTGGCCTTTGACCGCCACACTTGTTGCAGGCACCCCACTGGCTCCATTCTCCCCAACCTCAACAGCATTAAACCAATCTTCCAAAAAGCCGTCTGTCGGCAGCATGAGAGACATGGTGTGAAGAATCCGGGACCGAACTTGCTCTCAGTGAGTTCCACGGTCAGAAAACCAATGACTTTCGGCGAAAGGGCTCCAGCAATGGTGCGAGTTTACACTTCAGGCCTTCCCTGTCTTGCTCGGAGAGAGCTTCTGAAATTCGGGCATGATGGTCTTAACCTTCCGTAGTTTACAGATATCGGAAGATCGTACTTCCCGCATCTTCCTGCGCAGGCTTGCAGGATTCTTAGACTGATCCTTAGACGCACAAAGCTTGGGAGTCAAAGGTAGCTAACCGCACTAGCTGTGCCACGCATGCCGTTGAACTCAGATGCCGGCGACAATCCCTCCGTGGGCCTTCATGATGGCACTCCTCCACTTGGCATGCTCAGTAGCTGCCAGGACGTTGCAAACTGCCGGGGCGCGCTTCAACAAAACGACACTCTCTGCAGCTCTCCAAACACTTCGTAACTCACGTGCCTGGTTGTGGCATCCTCGCGTCTCTGTGAGTGATCCCAGGCCTCTGCTTAGACAAAACTTCAAAAGAGTTTACACAGAATTTCACGGGGGTTAAACCGCAAGACCCGCCCCGATAAGTAATTTCTTCTGTCCAACCCTCAGGCTCTGGCAAGGCGTGCCGCCACCTCGGGCCTGGCTTGAACGACCGGGTATCTGAAGTAACGAACACCAGCTGCCACTGGACCATCGCAGGCTTTTGCTATCTGACAACGGGCGGTTTGCTATCTGACAACGGGCGGTCGCGGAGCAAACGAAAGCAAGACTATCCCGGCGGCAAAAGAGCATCATGAGCATCTTTTCGGCGGTCACGCAGCCCAGAAACGCTGCTAGGAAAATGTGCACCTCAAGACTCTGTTGAAGAGATTGCAGGAGGTATGTCCCCAACGCTATGCGGTTCTTCCATTGGGGATAGAAGCGGTAAAGAGGATTCAATCGCTGTTCGGCTGAAGCTCACACGGCCGGCGCACATTGCGGCTGCTAACATGGCATGGTGCGCACTTTCGCATAAACTAGCATACTTTCCTCGGTCCCGCTAAGCCCCGTTTGGAGACGTCGCAGTGATTTTGGAACGCGCGAAAGTGGCGCATTTCATTCCTGCCAGTCCTTTGCTCAGTTTATCGCTCGAAATCTGTAAAGTCTTAGCAGGGCCGTGCTATTCACCTCCTCGGGGATACTTCGTCTGGTCGCGACATGTCCCTGCCCTGGGGTGCCAACCGTGCGTCTGCCACACTGACTCTAAGCACTTCAAGCGGCAATTGAAGGGCCAGCATTTTCAAACTGCTTTGGAAAGCTACAAGTGCTCCAATCACCCACTGCTCTTCTCAGATCAATTCTTGCTCTTGTTTGCAGGAGAACTACGACTCTTGTTCCGAGTTCTGATGGCTGTGGATGTCATCGGCTCTGTTCTTCTCTGACTGCGCCTTGCCGGACACCGGGAAGTTATTATTGTTTTTTAACGGGCCGTCGATGAAAGGCATAGAATTGAGGAATCACGGTGCTTCACTTGCCTCCTGGTCTACGCTCCGCTCGCGCATGGATTGGCCACCACCACCTGGCTGTCAACAAGATACAAATTCAAAGCCGACTCAAAGAGACCAAAAGGCTTGAATTACAGCGCCATGTCGTGCTCTGCTTCAGATTGCTCCAGCAGCAGCGATCGAAGCAGTTTCACTGTGGTCAGCGCGATGCAACGTGGCCGGCATGCATGTGACATCGCACTGGCCCCAGGAAGACCACCTCAGAGTTGCGAACCAGTAATCAACGAGCTTTGTGAAACTTCCTTTACGGCCAAGTGGGTGTGTCGTTGTGCCTGTGTTGCAGCCCAAGCCACGCCGGTTCTAGCCGCCTATCCATTTCGGCTTGTAGTATGCAGGGTTCAGGACCCTAGAACTGCCCAATACAGACGGGCATCGCGGGCGATGCAAATTCGATGTGAAGGATGGTCGTGTATCCACAACATGTTGCGAGCAGACCGAGACAAGTCGAAAAGCTCTCGGATCCAAGCTGGCTGATGATGCAGTCTCGCGCATGCACCTGGTCTGGCCAGAACGGAGACAAGCAGATGCTAAAGCTCGACATGCTCGCCACCCATCACGAGGCGACGGCAGGCTGGCAAGCGATGGGCGCAGGGGCCCCTGGGCTTGGGGCACATGGCGAAGTCTCCTGAATGGAAACAATGCCCATGCAAGGGCACAGTAAACTGACTGCACCAGAGGATTCCACGCACGAATAAGGCTTCCCAATGCGGTGCGGCGGGCTCATGCTTCAGTCTCACTCGTCCTTGGTGGCACCAACACACCACTCACCCCTGCCCCGGCCATGTACCTTGGCAAACCAAGTTCAGGGTCCAGCCAGCATCAGCAAGAAGGGAGCCGGGAGCGAAAGACAGAGTTCTGCTGTCCGTGGGGCATCTAAGGCTGTCGGCTGTCGCATGTTTTCGTATGCACTGGACAGGATTCCAGGCGTATCTTTCTGAAGGGCACGTTACCCATTGCCCTGTTCCGAAACCTGAACTCTGGATCACGGCAGCCCCATGCGGAGATGGAAAGCTTTCCGCCCCGAGGCTTATGTCAGGCATGCCTGCGCTAGCACGTGCGCAATCAACTGCTTCTTCTAGCAACAACGGCCCTTGTATGCCCTTATGCAAGCGTGCCCCGTAACCGTTCAACATCCTTGAATGGTCTGTCTCCAAGTGCCCGACTGCAATCCTGCGAGAGCGTCGCTTGATGCCATCACAAGTCCTCCCAGGCTTCGAGCAGCAGGAGCTGTCAAACCCAGCCCAGCCAAGATGAAATCCGATCATCCGACCGTCCATGAACTCCACCCCTTCCATCCCCTTCCCCATCCAAGTGCCTGGTACATGCACTCCACTGAGTCCAGGAATCAAACTGGCAGTTGACGTCCCCGGCACACGGCACATTCTGGTTGCAAGGAGCCTGGCATCAGGACCGAAGGCAGGAGCTCCCCGGATATGTGTAAAGAAAACTCAAGGATGCCAATGGCATAAGCGAGCCATCACGGCCACATCCCGCGAGAGCCCTTCAGCAGGTCGGCCGCATTCATTGGCCTTCGGATCCCACTGCTGTGGATCAGAAAGAGAGAGAAATGCCTAAAAGGGATCTTACTGCTGCTTAATGCTGCTTGTTCTAGCTTCTTCTTCTTCTTCATTCAATTCATCCAGCCTGTCAGTTGAGCGACGACAAAAACTTGTCAAGGGCTGCATCTGAAGGGTTACAAAACGCACGAAGTTGTGCTGATCGACATCACTATCGTTCAAGCTTGCACTTTAACTCGGAATATCTCGGAATGGTAGGCCGGAGTGTAGCAACACGACGCGACGTGCTGAGCTATTATTGGCTCTTGCTGCTCCTTTACACTCGTATGTTCAGGTTCGACGTGAAAGCAAGCTCCGAATGTACCAGGATGAGCGCCAGCGCCCGGCTTTCCGAGCGAGCGTGGGCCGCAAATGATGAGGTTTTGCAGGACTTTCGAGAGATCACAACAAGAGAATCCGAGCTCTTGGAAACCTGCCTTGCCTCTGATGTCGTTCTCTTGCTTTTTTCTTGACCACAGCATTCTTTTTCCAAAGCCGCGGGGCCTGTTGGCTGCACTCTACCTCCTCTGGCCCCAACATCCCCGTTTCCAGCTGCAAGCTTAGATCGTCTGATCCCCGCTCCGGGCCGTTCGAGAGTATTGGCCGGCAACACTCTACTGCATGCTCTTGGGCCCTTTGTCCCCCTTCGGCCTGGCGCTAGGAACCTCAGCCTCCGGACGTATGAACAAAGCTGTGAGGCTGAACCAACGTGAGCGAATGAGCGGACATGAGTAGTGCGATTGAGTGAACAGGTAGTGCATGGCTGTGCACTTTGGGATGGTGTCAAAACCTCGGTCATCTTTCATGGGGAGGGTGTGGAGGGGGTCCCGGTCAGCGCTTGGGCCCCGTCATGGGCAGCTGGAGGCGGCTCACCTCTCGTCCAACTTCCATCTCACTTCGTGCTGCGCCATTTCGTGGGCGCAGAGGGGCAAGATCCGTACCACGTACGCATCATTCCACATTTTTCTTGTGTACCGTTCCTGGAGTATGACCATGCAAACGTTGGCACAGAATTCTCATCGTGGCTTGGTTTGCATTATCATCATCATCATCATCATCCTCATCCTCCTCTGGCAGGCATAACTCTGACTGCCTTATGAAACTGTGTGCGTGCGTGTGTTGGCCAGCGCGATTGCATCTGTCAATGTATGTGCGTATGTATGTCAATGTATTTATGCATTTACGTATGAATGTAATCGTAAGTAATTACGTAATTACGTATGTAGGCAGGTAGGTAGGTAGGCAGGTAGGTAGCTAGGTAGGTCATGGTCGGCAGGTAGGTAGGTAGGCAGGCAGGCAGGCAGGCAGGCAGGCAGGCAGCGAGGTAGATAGATAGCTCGGTAGGTAGGTAGGTAGCTAAGTAGGTAGGTAGGTAGGTAGGTAGGTAGGTAGGTAGGTAAGCAGGTAGGTAGGTACGTAGGTAAGTGCCAGTCAGCTTGTTTGCACGCGCGTAAATGGGTTTGTAGGTTGGTGTGGCCGCCGTGGGACCTTTGCAGTTTCACACAGGCTGCCAACAGCCGAAGCTAGGAAGTTTCAATCCGAGACCAACATAATTTTGCGGCCACCGCCATCAAACACTGTCCACTCACCTTTTTCCAGATCGCCGCAACTCTGCTAGTTCGAAGTTCAACTAGGAACAAAGCTTCGGAAAGAAGTCTGGTACATGCCAGTATGTTGCAGTCGGAGCCCCACCTCGTGCTCCATTCGTCGATGACGGTATCGTAAGCCTCCGGTGCCTGGGCGTGAGGGGCGGCAAGGTCTGGCAAAATCATGACCCGGTTGCTGTTCTGCAATGCTCGCATCACGCCTGCGAAATTCAACCGACCTCTCCTCCTAGTCATGCTGGGCACGAGGGGCAGCTTACAAGTGGTGCTTTCTCCCTTGCTCGAGTATTGGTTGGTTTTGCACACTTGAGCATGAAAGAGTCGGAGGATTGGAAACTCACAGAAGCACCGAGGCGGCAACAGGAGGCAGAGCAGGGTGACCACTCCTTTCACACCGAAACTCAGCGAGAGTCCTCCATTGCCTGTACTGCAGCACAGGGCCAATATCTACTACAAGCAGGTGTTTGATAGTTCCTCCAACATCTCCAAAAGCCGCGAGCTCCTGCCACTCGCCCCAGGCTCCATCGCGGCAGGCAGTCTCTGCGCAGCTGTGCGTGTTGCAAGGGCCGATCTGCCAAGACGGGGCTCCACTACGCGTGTTGTGGCAATCACCGTCAACACGTAGATGCAATCAAGGCCATCTGAAACCGCACGCCTGGTAAAGTCATCTTGCACGCAGAATCTGCCATGCCGATCGTGCACCACATCTTGACTTGCCTCCTCCTTGTGCTTTGCTTCGCATCGGCCGCCTCCGCCCTGACAGCCATAGCCATGTGAAGTTTCCAGCCACTCCTATATCCACGTTCGAATGGAGTCTATTGTTGGACGACGATTGGCTGAGCCTATGCAATATCGCACCGTAGGCTCAGCATCAAACAAACACACGACACACACAGTTTGAATTTGCCTCCCCTATGACAAAAGTGCCAATCACCGCATCTTGCTACGCTTTAACTGCGGTCGGAAGCGACACCTGAGGCGATTGGGCGATGTGCCGATTGCGAGTGCGCTGGCCACCACCTGAAGCGATATGCACTACCGAGAACACTGACATGTCGGAAAGCCCTACCCTCAGCTACAAGAGGGTCTACCCTAGGTCACATCTCAGACCCTGTCGGAGGGTCTGATGTTAGCTCTCCAAGAGCATGCCAAGCGCTCCAATCACGAAGAGCACGATGACCCCCACCAGTAGACCAAGAAGAGAGATGGAGAATGAGAGCGACAAGGCAAGCAGAAAGAACAAACACAAGCCTAAACCCAAAGCCCTAAGCCCTAAACCCTGGTTTAGGGTTTAAATTAGGGTCATCCAAAACGAACTTTGAGTGAGCGAGATGGAGAGTGAGAGCGACAACACCAGAAATGAAAAAAGAAACACACAAACCCTACACCCTAAACCTAAATCCCACCCCCTAAACCCCTAAACCCTGAACCCCAAATTTGGTATCACACCTTTTTTGTGCCTGGCAGCGACATGTGCACCCCTTGTTGAAGCAGTCCCAAGAACTCCCCGGAACCCATTCCCCCGTGGGCTCGTTTACTAAGTTGTAGTAAGCCACACCACGGGGGAATTTCTGGGGAGCTCTTGCGACTGCTTCAACATGGGGTGCATATGTCGCTGCCATACACAAACAAAGGCTTTCCCAAATTTAGGGTTCAGGATTGGGGTTTTAGGGTTTAGGCGTTTCGGGTTTAGGGTGTAGGGTTTGTGGTTCTTTGCTTTACTTAATGCTTTCTTTCTAATCTGTCTTTCTTGCGTTGTCGCTCTCACTCTCCAGCTCTTCAATCCTAAACCAGGGTTTCGGGTTTAGGGTGTCTCTTTCTTTGTCCCTTTTTTTGCTTTGCCTTGCGTTGGGGTTAGGACCACGGGTAGTCCCCGCGGCCCGCGCAGTAGCGCACCCCCTCCACCATTTTGTTGGAGGGGCTCGGCTGTGCAGAGGGTGCCCCGGGCCGAACGTTTGTTTGGTCCTGTCGCCCCCGTGGTGGCAAGTTTGCATACTGAACAACAGCCTGGGTAGGAACAGCACTACTAATTGTGTGCCCCACGGGAGTGGTGTCACTGAGCTAGAGCCCCAAACCAACCTGGCCTGCCTGACCCTGCCTGTATCCCGAACAGAAGCCTGATCCCCGCACTCGACCTCGACCTTCCACTCAACCCTTAGGCCTCCCCCGGCGAGTGCCCCTGCTTAGTTGTTTCACGACAAAGGAAGAGTGCAACCACCGATCAACTCAAGAACAGCTAAAACAGAACTACCTTTCAGCAGGTGCCTCGCTTGAGGGTCACAAGTGAGAGTGCATCCTACGACGGCGGTGGCTCTCCTCACTTTCGCTGTGGCTCTGTTCTCCGCGGCTCAGTTCTCCTTGCTCTCGCTGAAGTCCCCAGGCCAACTGGTCCCCCGTTTCTTCCACAAGGTGTCCCCACGGGACTGTGTCTTGGTCGCTGTCGAAGAGGTCCGGCTGTGTGGTGCCGCACCGTTGGTCACCTTCTGGGGGGGGGGTCCTTCTGCGTCCTCAGCAGCTGTCGTCTCTTGCTCCTCGCCTGTCGTCGTCGCTCCTTCTGGTAGTCCTCGGTCTGCTGCAAGTAGTGCCCCGCTTTGACTCGGCGGCGGCTGCTCTAGTTCTCGTTGGCTTGTCGTCTGAGTGGTTGTCGTCGTCGCTTGTAGTGCAGGTAGTCCTGGGTCTGGTCCTCGCGGTAGTCCCTGTCTTTCTTTCGCTAGGGTTAGGGACAAGGGGGTTTCCCCCCTTGTCCGCGCGCCGTCGGCGCCCCCAACTGGTGCGTGGGCGTACTTGGGAAAAAAGGCTCTCTCCATAGAGGCAATTTGCTCGGAGAGGTCAGTCGCTCACTGGCTACACCAAGGGAAACTGCGTTCCAACAACAAAGCGGAACCAAGTAGTGAAAAACACATTAAGGGTTCATTCCCCTGCCAACCATAAAGAACACAAAGCTGAGCACAGGCTTCGAATTTTGCCTCGAGCGGAGGCGGTGGTAGGAAAGAGTGTAAATGGCGGCCCGTCTTATGGTACAGGGAACTTTACATTGGGGGGGATTGCTCCCCTTACATGTATGGAATCGAAGGGATCGAGAACTCAGTATGGACAACATTCCAGGAAATCGTTTCGTGCAAGCCTCAGTGCTGGAAGTAACAAAACATGTACCTGTCGAGGATGGAGAAGAAGGGGTGTCCCCCAGTACATCCTGTACGTAAAAACTCAGCTCTCACTCATGCTCAGGCGTCACCCTTCAGGATAAGTTCGTGGGTCTTCTCCGTGGTGACCTTTCACGTGGCCTGGGATGGGGTTGCCTCCCCCTTGAGTGTCCTTCGCTGCCTTGGGTAGACCCCCAGCCACGATGGTCATCTTTGTTCCATGTGCCATCAGCGCGTGTTCGCTTTCTGTGTGCCCTATAGCTGGCCTTGGAATTTTGTCGATAGGCCTGCCACATCTCCTCATCGTTCGCGTACCGGTCCAGGCCGTAGGGCAGGTTACCATCAGAGTCCCGTTTTTGCAGAAGTTCCTGTCGGCGGGCTTTCTGTTGGGCTGAGAATCGGGAGGGTGTGCCTTCTGGTTCCGGAACACTGGCTCCAAGGTCACTAGGGGTGGCCCCCTTCTCGCAACATTCTTCCTGCGTGGCATCTTGTACATCATAGTCGGAGCTGGTGTCATCCCAGCCAGAGGGCACTGAGCATGCTGGCACTGAGCATGCTGGAACTGTGGGGTGTGTCCCCTCTTGAGGGTGTCGAGGTAGTTCGTCTGCTCCCTTATCGCATGGGGAAGCATCCCCTAGTACAGGTCCAGCGGGCCCACTCTTGTCGTATGCTCTGTGTTGAGGTATGGTATCAGGTAGCTCTGCTTCACGATCGAACACATCGGTCACGGGGTGCAGGTGGCAAGGGCTGGAGAATTGCTTGCACATCACAGTCTGGTAGTACACTCATAGTGTCCGGGGTTTGCCCCGCCATGTGGTTTGTTCCAATCTCAGCGCGTAGCTCTTGGCGGGGTTGTGTAGCAATCGCGGCCTCTGTAGTTGGGGAACTCATCCTCGTACTCTTGAAGTTGTCCAACTCGGGGGTTTCCCCCATGGGATCGGCTTGTGTTGTAACAACTTGTGCAGCACGGTCAGGTAGTGCATCAGTAGGTATCGGGGCATTCCCCGCAGAGGAGGGTAAGCATGCGTCATGTTGCAGTTCACGGCTGTGTAGCACGGCATCACTCGTATTCATCGTTGTTGTTGCTGCTCCAAGGGTCGATGAGAACGACCCAGCCTCGAGGTTGTCCTGAAGTCCTTGGTTGTTGTCCTTGTCGTCGGCAAAGGGGTTGGTTGTGTCCGGGGATGTCCCCGCGGTCGCGTCCCTTGTAGTCACGGTAGCCTGCAGGTGTGTTTTGAGGCGCTCAGTAGGTGTACTCGGCGTAGTCGCTGACGTAGTGGGGATAGCTCTTGCCGCACCTGCCTCAATCGGATCGAGCCCCCGGATAATCCTCGAGGTCTTGGCTTTGGAAAGTTGTGGCAGGACCCATTCAGGCTTCGGCTTGGGAGCGCTGGTGTCCTCGGTGAGCTTGCTGGTGTTCTGCACGGGTGAGTAGGTAGTCCCCTTGGAAGACGAGGAAGTCACCGGCAGAGGCGGGGGTGTAAGTTCAGCAGGCGGACTTGCGAAGTATCGTACCGGTGTACGTGGCCTGCGCTGGTCAGCCCCGGGGGGAATCTCCCCCTTGTTGGTGTGGATGCCGAAGAGCTCATTGAGGGGGTCCGCGATGAGCGCGTCCGGAAGGTCCTCCTCGTCGTTGACATCCTTGGGGGGCCTGCTCTGCGAGGCCTCGGCCTTTGTGCGACTGCGACGCCGTTGACGCGGTTTGACCTCAGTTGCAGAAGGAGGGGGGGGGGGAGGGGGGGAAGGTCTGGTGGAAGAGCTCGTAGTGGTCGAAGAGGTCACCCCCTTGGCATCGGGGTTGGGTTGCACGTTGTGCGAGTCCTCGAGGGCTTTGAGCACAGCCTGCTCAATCTGTCGTTGCTTTAGGTACTCCTGGATGTCCTTGGCCTTAGTGCTCGTACAACCATGGAGTAGGCACTTCGGGTCTTGTCGTTGGTGCCCCCCGTGGTAGCTAGGCCCTTTCTGACACCCGTAGCAGATTTGGGGGTCGCCCCCTATTCCTGCCATTGTGTAGTGGACGATATCCTTCACAGTGCCGTCGAAAAAGTGTCACGTTGCACAACGATGATACACTTTAGGACCCCGGCAGGTAGTTCGGGTTCGCACCCCGGTCAAAGTTTCTGCGAAGTGTCGCCTGTCACGTTCAGGTAGCGGGTGTCAGGCTCCCTAAGGTACAAGAGACACCGAACAGGTGCGTTGCACACCTAGGTCGCGCTGAAGAGCGATGACGATGATCAGCGCACACTTGCCCAGGACGCCCTTCTGCAATGGCGAAGAGAGAAGGGAGGGCGGAGCAGAGGAAGCAAGCGCCCGGGTTGGGGACAGCTGGGCACCTGTGAGCAAGGAGAGAAATGACAGAGGGGGCAGAGAGGCGCCCAGCGTCCTTGAACCACTCGCGGCTTGAGCCAAAATGGTAGTCCCTTTCTCTCGTTCTCTCTTTCTTGCCTTGTCGCTCTCACACTCCATCTGTTTTGGATGACCCTAGACTCTAAACCCTCCCTAAGCCCCACCTTTGGTAAGCTCTTTTTGACAAGTTCAATTTTTTTTGTGATACACATCCCCACAAAAAGGCTTGCAGTGTGCATCGGGCACTTGGATTGAATTCACAGAAGTATAGACCGATTTCAGGAAGGGTCTGGAATCTACGGGCATCGCAGGGTCTAATCTGTAGAAGGCCTACAATTCTAGACCTTCCAATGCTTGGACCCAGGGTCCGGCACGCCAGACCCTACAGCACTTGATGGCGGGATGCCCGACCGCAGGTGTGCCGAGAACTGCCAGCCGTGCTGCGTGAAGGCAGGAAAGTGGACAGGTCCCGCACCACAGGAGCATGTGCAGCCACTCCAACTTGACCAGTCACCTGTCCAACTTAGAGTCCAGATGCCGGCGCCACAGCAACCGCAAATGCTTGACGCTGGCTCTCTTACTGAGGCTTGCGCCCCAGAGGCAATTGACCATGCCACAGCCAGCCATTGACCTGGAGGCCGGGGAATGTCCGAGGTTTCCTTTACAGCGATGTTGCGCAGAGGCCCCAGCCCGCCGCCATTGTCCCGACATGCACGAGTCTCCGAGAGGATGAAGTTCTTAGCCCGCGTGAAGGACCGTTGTCCCGGTCAGATTGCCATGACTCCCGCCCTGCCCTACTCAGAAGACAGTTTCGGCTTAAGCCTTGGCAGAAATAGGTCGGGTCTTGCACGGCGTGGGGTGGGAGAGAACCGCGAGTTTCTCATCAGATCGTGGTCCTCAGCACCGAACACACTTTCGTCCTTCTCCTTGTGCCGACCTGCTCAGGCTGCACGGCAATGGATTGAAGATGACACGATGCGCATTTGAACCTAAACACACACACTAAGTCGGAAAGGAGCAGGCGACACTGAAACAAGATACGGAAGACGGAAGTATGCGGTCGCTCGTGAACTGCTTCCATGCTCAATTCCTTGGCCTGGCAATCTGCCGGTCTCGCTGCTGCTGACCTGAAGCTCGAGGCTCCAGGTGCGCAAAGAGTTTCCAGAGCCCCTCGAACTCCCTAGCTGGAACGTTCGAAGGTGGGCATACATGGAAAATCATAGAAATGCGGGCACTGAGGCGAGCTGCCGGCACCACACTGCACCGAGCAGGCTCCCCACTCTGTCCAGGCAGTTGCCTCGTTTGCATCGACTCTGACGATTGCGGGCAAGACTCAGAAATCAGAAAGCTCAGCCTCGCAATCCACAGTTCCGCAGGAGTAGCTGCCACACCTCTGAACTGTGCGATGGGCAAAAGCAAGTAGGGATAAATGAAGTCGTCAAGCCACGAGGCAGCATATCAGTGCAAAGTTGGCATGGCGGGCCAGCGCCGGGAAACAGCAAACTGCGATTAGCCGATCGAAACCTATGCTGTGTGTCTTGGCATCGCTCCAATTCTGTTTGGCCTCCCGTCATAGCATATGCCTTTCTATTCCTTCTTTTTCTGTTGCCTGCCACTGCAGTATTACCCTTCTGCACGCGTGCATTCCTCCGGCATACCGCTCTCAAGGTTTCATCTTCCTTGCGTGTCACCCTGCTGGCTTCCTGAGATGTCAGGGTAACACCGGGTACCTGAAACTGAGAAGGTTTGACAAGGGCACAAGCACTGCCAGGCGCGTGGCGCGCGGAGCTCTCGGAGCGAGGTGGGGCACGGCAATCCGCCGTGCATGGGGTAGACCTGGACCTGCACAGTGACCGCCTACTTCGAAGCTTCAGTGCTGGATCTCATCTTGTCGCTTTGAGTGCTTCAGAAGATGGCCATGCCTGCCGGTGTCGCTGCTGCTCACCACCACCACATGACTTGTCGCAGGAATCCCAGGCGCTCCTGCCACGCAAACAAGTTCAACACCAAATCGGCATCGAAGCCCAGTCGTACAGAGATGCTGGAACGGTTGCAGACCGGATTTTCATGGCAAGCAATCACTTCCTTCTCTCCTTCTCTCTGTGCTTACAATCACTTCAGTGTTTCAAGTCATACGCATTTTCCTTCGTGCCCCAGCCCTCACTGACCAGATGGTTTGTGCGCTCATTTAAACTGACATATCCACGAAAAGGCGCAGGACAACCACATGTCCATGACCTCAGCCTCTCCAGATTCGGCTCATCTGTACTATGATGCTCTCCGACAAGCTAGTGAAGTCTTCGGGCTCGCACCATGCGGAGACCTGGCAATCCATGCCATGTTGGCTGCACGGCCTGACATCACACTCAGCGCTGCCTGGGGAACTGTACGGTCTATGAGCCACAAAATATTGCTGAGTTTCTGACCGAGTTTCACCCAAAAGGACGGGGCTGCCAGGACCACCACATGGTCTCGGAGATGATACAATTTAAGCATGCATCATACCCGGACAATAGAATTTGATGGGGGCAGTTTGGAGCACACACGCACTGAAAGAAACCGTATCAACATCTGTCGTTGGGCTCTGCACCGCCCTCCAGCCGTAGCCTCCCGCTGCACGCGACGGCTTCGTGTCCTCAGCTTCCGGCGACTTTGCAAGGTCGGGCTCGTTATCAGCATCGAATCATATCGAATATCACGGACAGAATGACATCCCACTGTGCATCGCGGGCCTCTGTCCGCCCCAGCAATCGCCCCAGCTGCTCCACGGAGCCAAAATGCAGTCCCCTTCCTGCACAGATGCTTGGGTAGTCGCGGTTTGCTATTTCACATCCTTCTCTCGTGAGACTAGCGGCAATGCGAAAAAACATGACGACACTCTGGGCAGCAAGCTGCAAGTAAAACTGCTGTCATGAGGGCACCGGACTCTGGCATGCTTGCAAACGTGATTGCTTCGCTCAACTAAGGCATGATGCAGAACGAGGACTACAACGCGGGTCGCGCCTGACATGGGAATTCTGCACAGGTCTGTCCCTCGGACAGGTCTCCTTGGCCTCAGGACAAGCGTCCTCTTGATCTGCCAACCGTTTGTTGATTCGCTTTTCGCCCACCCCTGAATGGGCAGCCTGACAACACATTCAGCCGAATCACAGAACAAGTATCATTGGTCGTGAGCTGACCTCATATCTGAGGCATGTGCAAGGTTGTCCTCCGTTCCGTGCGGGCTGTGCTACAGCCCTTGTGCGGAGCTGCCAGCCGCCTATGCAGGATGAGGCATCAACACCAAACAATTTTCAAATTCAAAAAACATATTTCATATTTCAATAATATCAAAATTTTTTTAAGGTATCAAACAAACTATTCCTCAGTTTATAACCAAAATAGAGAGGAGGCAGGCTGATTAAACGATCTAAAAATTATTCCAGGGATCGAAAAAACTATTGCTGCATAGGGAAAACATTTTGTCAGCCCAACAGAACCCGCTAGAACTCGGGGTGTAAATCCTGGCCGTGCGTGAGAATCTTGGCTCCGTGCCTGAAAAGCACCAATACTTTGGGGGAGGGCCTGTTGGCTCTGATTCGGAAAGCATTCCGGCCGCGACCGGGTGTGAGTGTTTTTCTTTGCTTGCTGGCACATATTTCTTAACACGCCCTCTCATTGGGCGACTCCGGTTCATCCTCTATCTTAAACACGCTCCGCCGTTTGGCGGTTCCGGGTCATCTTTTATCTTAAACATGCCCCGTCTTTTGGCGATTCCGATTCATCCTTTATTTTAAACCCGGCCCCTCATTTGGCGATTCCGGTACATCGCATGTGTTAGACATGCCCCCTGATTTGGCGAGTCCAGTTCATCATCATCATCATCAGCATCATCGTCATCATCATATATACATATATGAACTAAACTCTCTCATATATCTTAAACACGTCCCTCATTAATTTCTTGACTTGCTTCCGGACTCCCGCCAGTGCACTTTTGTCAGTCCAACAGAACCCGCTAGTATTCGGGGGGAATCCTTTTGACCGTGCTATTTGTTTCAAGCTGTTGTTGCTTCCTCGCCCAAACACACCTACCAATGAAGGCCACGCACAAATCAAGAAACAACGACTAGTTGCGTTGAATACATGGTTTGCACGCTCTCATCACTCTGCTGCAGGCCACTTCTCGTATTCTCATATGTTCTCATCATGGCCGGCGGTACTGGTCTCACTCTCTGTTTCGGATAGCAACAGACGGGAGGGCATAGCACGCCGCTCTTGAAAACAAGCCTGCATGGCAAAAAATCAGAGGGGTGCCCACCGCACTTGCAAACAGAATGCTCATAGAAAGGCTGCTTGACAGGATGTCCATTGATGGTGCGCCATGCTTTGAAGCAGGTTCGTATGGCTCAAAATTCAAAAAGAGCGGTGCGGGTTGGGGCACAGCGCCACCCCATTTGCAAACAGATTGCTCATAGAAAGGCAGCTTGACGGTTGACGGAATGTCCATTGATGGCGCGCGCGCGCGCGCGGGGGGGGGGGAGGGACGGACCCCCCCATTTGCAAACAGAATGCTCATAGAAAGGCGGCTTGTCCAATGATGGCACGCCATTCGTTTAAAGGAACGGGGCGGATGATTGGCGTCTTGGAAAGCCTTCATGAAGGAAAGAAATGTCCGCTGATGGCACGCTGTCCTGTCGCGCAAATTCACATGGCTTAAAGTTTGGAAAGAGCGGGGAGGGGGGGGGGGGGGGCGGGGGTTGGGGCGCAGCCCCCCCGCCATTTGCAAACAGAATGCTCCCAGAAAGTCTTTTTGAAGGAATGTCCATTGATCGCGCACCCTTCTTTGAAGCAGGTTCGCATGGCTCAGAATTTAATGCGCGCAGGGATTTTATACGTGTACACCATGTTCGCTTTGCAATGCTTGTCTTGGCTTGGCTTTTTTTGATCGGGGGTGGGGGCGAGGGGACGGGTTTATATACCTGTGGGTGTACACACGCATATATATATATATATATAGATCCACACACACACAGTTTTACATATATATATATACACACACACACATATTTGCATGCTTATTTATATACACGTAGGTATATCTATCTATCTATCTATCTATCTATCTACATATCTATCTATCTGTCTGTCTGTCTGTCTGTCTGTCTGTCTGTCTGTCTGTCTATATATATATATATATATTATATCTGTATGATATACATATCGACATATGTACATATAGAGATACAGACATATGTACATCTAATCTCTATACCGTACGCATTTATGCATGTGCATATGCATCCTCATCATCAACATCCTCATCATCGTCATCATCGACATCGTTATCACCCTGAGAAAACGCACGACATGAAGCTCTGCGAGTGAAGGTTTGGGCATGATGGTTTCAGAAGGTTCTTTCTTTTATGCTTATGTACGGTCTGCAATCTATAATCACTTAGGATCCTCAGTAAGGGACTAACTTCTCTGTGCTGAATTGCTGGCCCTTCTTTCTTTCTTGCTTAATTCGTTTGTGTTCGTTCTTTCTTTCTTTATATCTTCCTGACTTTCTTTATTTCTCGCTGTCTTTCTGTGTTCTTTCTCTCTGCGCTGAATTCCTGTCTCTTTCTTTCTTTGTTTATTTGTTTATGGTGTCTTTCTTTCGAAATGCAGTCTTTTCTTTTGTTGCTTGGATAATTCGTTGTTTGTTCTTTTGTTCTGTCTTTCCTACGAATGTCTTGCAGTCTTTCTGTCTTTCTTTATTTTCTGCTTGTTGTTAGTTATTTGCTTCTTTCTTTCTTTGTTTCTTTCGTTCTTTCTTTCTGTCCACCTTTCTAGATTTTGCTTGGAGTAGCTTTTTGGACTTGGGGCAAGTCTCTACGCTTTGTGTTATTCCGTTGTCTTTTGCCTTGTCTTCTGATTATAAAATAGGAATAGTTTTTGACCCCCTAAATAGTTGTTTTGATCCCTTAAACTATTTTTGACCCCGTAAATCGTCTTGTTTAACACCAATCCCACCATGCAGGCAAGTCTTCAACGCTTGCAGAGCTTGCCCAAACACGTCGTCCCTTTCAGAGTAGGTTCTGTCAAGTAAGACCTCCGAACACCGATCGCTTGTGCACAGAGCAATATCACCCGTCAGCACGGAGTCTTGAATTTCAGAGGGCTTTCGCATGTCGAAGTCAACTCCCCTTCCGACTTTGTCATCAAACCTGAGCCGTCCTCCGCAAGTCTTGCTGCAGCTTACCCAATCAGACCTTGGTCTCCACATCTGGAAGTAAATATTGAAGCTTTGGAAGGTCACATGCCGAGGTTATAGCCAGGAGATGAGTCGGCAATGTTGCAGGTGGTCCTCGGAGCCGTAAGATCTGAAGTTATTATTCGTGGCAGACCGAGCCCATCACATTCTCTTCGCAGAAGGAATCAACCTCCCGAATGTCGCCTTCGCCTCAGTATCGAGCAGCGCGTGTGTCGCAGTGTCGGCGGCTGTTTTGCTTCATCCACCATGATTTACAAGCACCTCGTGCAATCAATTGCACCAGGGATCATGCGCAGTTGTTTCTTTGCAAACGTGCATAAAGAATGCGGAGGAGGGAAGCGCAGGCTATCGTAGTGACGATGGTGACTCAAAAGCATCATACATCAACCCATGCTCGAGCTGTCAGGCCCCACGGTATTCTCTGTTCGAGAGGGGAACGCTGTGAACGAATTTGTTCTTCTGGCAGCTTCGGGCACTGCGAGCATGATGCATGAACCATTCTGATGGCCAAAACCACCGGCACGGCTCTTTGCTTCAACGCGCATTCGTGGCATGCATACCGCACTGATACCGCATACCCGCTTGTGAATCACATTAGCTTTCGGATGCCCGCAGGCGAGTCATGGATGAACAGCACTTCGCACTGTGCACAGACACACCACGAAAAGCTGAGCAGCCAGAGCGCAACTCGCTGTTGGGGCATGCACTGTGCAATTCAATGATGCGCAGTGCATTTTGAACTGGTTTCGGGCTTGGCATAACCGGATGCCAAGTCGGCTGTACTCTACAGGAAACAAGGGATCTCTTGATAGGACTGGTGACTAGCAAAAACAACAAAAAAGCAACCAGCAAAACTTAGGACAGGGGGGCCTCAGAAATCCAACGACACCTTATCAGGGCTTCTGTGAAAGATGGAAAAAAGCAATAAAACCCAGCACATGACAGTGAAAGAGAAGGGGAGACGAGCAAGTCAAAGAATGAAAACAACCCCGCACGGTTCAACTCGTTTCCTCAAGCCAAACTTCTGAACGTAAACTAATGACTACTGAACACAGCCCAGCCCCCATGCTCCCTAACCCAGTGCCTGCCCGTTGCCCCTGCCCTGCCCTTGCCCCTGGCAGACCCCCAGAGCCTTCCTGGGACCAGGCTGGGAAGGCTTCTGGAGTCTTTTCTGTTGTGTGTGTGTGTATGCGTTTATTTCTGGTTTCTTGCCTGGAAAAAAAAAGCAGAAGAACTACGCACCCGCGAGGCATCCCCCCGTGGCCCCCGCCCCGAGGTTCCGCCCCGGCCCCGGGAGCTACTATTACTACTACACTACTTCTACGACCGCGACGACGACTACTACTACTGCTGATTGTAGGCATGCATGCTTTTTGGTTAATCGTTTGTGTTTTCACGCTTCCGTTTTGTTCTGTTGTTTGCTTAATTTTTGGCTGCTGGCCTGATTCAGCTCTTTCTTTGCTTGCAGCAGACTTGCTGTGGCTGTGGTGGAGCTTGCTGGGGCTCTCGGTGCATGTCGCTACTGTGATCTCTGCATGAGCTCAAGGTGATCCCCCCCCAACGGGGGCACATGTGGGGCGATGTTGCGGCCGCCCGGACCCCTCGTTTGGGACGCCCGTCTGTTGAAGGGACGTTTAGTTTTAGCCGTAGCAGCCGACATCCCGAGAATCTCTCAATTTTCTTTCTGCCGGGCTTAGGGGTCGTCCATGCGACCCTCGGGCCTTAGGCCCGCCCGACCACCCATTGTTTTATTCAGTGGCCGGCATTGGGGTCTGTACTGACCGTGGCAAAAGGAGACAAAGTTTGCCCCGAGTTTCCATCTGCAAGCTCTCAAGCTCTCTCTCTCTCTCTCTCTCTCTCTCTCCCTCCTTCTCTCTGTCTCTCTTACAGCGACTGGTATCCTGACTTAGCGCTGACAGTCTGCCTTCCTGCTTGGCACAGGTTGAGGCTCGCACATGGCTTCCCGCCGTTCCGGGGCATCTGACTCACCTCGCGTGAACGATACCTGGCAAGTGACCAGTGCACACCACCCCTCTGTCTAGCAGCGCACAGTCACCTCAGTGCTCCTGGTCCGGAGCGATCCATCTGGGACCAGTGTGACCAGCTGCGAAACTCCTGAGAACTGCCATGCCACCACTAACACAAGGCAACCGGCTTTGAACAGAAGCAGATTTCAACTGCAACTCCAGGGTCGCAAATAGTCACAACACACCGGAGCCAGATTCCCGAACGGGTTTGTATCTACGTATTCAGCTGTCAGCCTCCGCAGGCTTGGGTGCTCAAGAGTGTTGCCAACGACAGATCTCGTTCTGCGACACGAACCGTGTTCATCATATCCTTTGTGCTTTACGATTGCAGCTCAGGAAAGGTGCTGACAGCTGTTTGTTTGCCAGTACTACATCTCGTCATGGCATTGCGGCATTGCTGGCCGGGATGCGACCGTCAAGCTTGCTTCTGAAGTGGTGGACTGAAGAAGGACTGAAGATTTGGCCCATGCCCCGTGGAAACAGCAAGAGACACAGTGAGACTGCCGTCTCAAGACACCAAGGCATCCTTAAGACGACAGCAGGATGCAAGCACCCTGGCCTACAACTAACAGGGTGTGCTCGGCTGCGGGCACAATCCACAACCTCCGTGCACTCTTCGAGGCACCTGGCTGGGGTGGGGGTGGCCGTGCCTGTGACTACCCGCCAACAAACGCTGGAACTAGATCTTCCGGCCTCTTGGTGGAAACCAAGGGGCCGTGGCAAGGCTCTCCACACCTCGGTCGTATGCAAAGACAGCACATGCTGCAATCACACACGTGTTACCAGATCCTGGACTCCAGGTGAGGTCCTGGGTCTTTTTCCTGGAAATGGGTTTGCCGCTGTCGCATTATCCATGGATTAGGCCAATGATTAGGCCCCAGCTCGTTGTTAACGACGGCAATGCTGCGGGACCTGCTTACACGGATGTCTTTGCCAAATATCCTAGGCAGGACAGGCAAAGAGGTGAACGTGGATAAGCTTAAGTGCTGAGCCGGCTTGAATCACAAAGAGAGCGCCGAAATCACTGTCTTCGATTGCAGCACTAAGCATTTCTGTCGCTACAAAGCGCTGAATTCGTTCCGTCGTTATTGTTCAACTAATTGCATTCACAGCAGCCAGCAACTCTGGTGTCAATATAATTAGCACAAACCAAACATCCGCATGTTCGGGCACTACACTAGAATATAGAGATTCAATGGGTTAACAAAAACACCTGCGGGCCTGCCTGGTACAAAGGCCGATGCATGAAGGTTGATGCCTTAGATTTGCTCGCTCATGCGCATACCATCCTTCCAGACGAGCTGGGTGCGCAAACCATTCGCCCCACGGCGAGAAAGTGCAATCTGCTGGGACGCAACGATGGTCACAAGGCCTGACGGGCTGTCTTCTGATATCTTGTGGCTACATGAGGCAGATCAAAGTCAGCGCGGCCTCGTCGGACAGGCTTCAGTGTCTGTCTGTGTCCCGGCCTCGTTGCAGACCATGATATCATCTTACATTATAACTTGCAATGGTGGGATGCAGCTTGCGATAAGTCACACAAGCACCGTTGCAACCCACTTGGGCCCGAGGCACAAAGACCTGCGTACGAATCGTGTGCCACCTGCTTGTGCAGCAAGCCCGCCAAACTTTTCAACCCAGCTGCATGACAACAGTTGTCCGATCTTGACGTGATGCCATCATTGCGATGCGTGGGTTGGACATGTCGCAAGCCTTGAAGAGGTACTCGTAGGGTTTGTTTTGCACAAGGCCTGCCCGCAGCGTCGCAGCAAAGGAGTCTGACATGATGTTCCGAAAGACTTGCAGAACAAACGAGAGGAAAGTGCGTACAGAACAGGAGCGGTGCATGGCTTGGTCTCAGTAGAAGCCCAAGCTGGCAAGAGATGGCGAGCTTGTTTGCTTTCCGCTTCGACCGCTTCAGCCCTTTCTGCCGTCAAGCCTAGAGACCGCTCCCGCAGTCTCGTAGCCGGGCCGCAGTCCGCACTGCACCTGCTCGTTCCAAAGACAGAGGGAAATCGTCCGAAACGGAACCATGGGCGACTGGCCCACTCCAGGACGTCCATGGTTTCCACACGCAGAAGCTCATCTCGGTGCGGCCAGCTCTGGAGGGGGCATGTCACGACAGTGAGGCGCGATCTAGATTCCTTCATACCTGAGCTACTTTCTCTTAATCAAACTACTTTACTTGAACTACGTCGGATGCATCCTGGCATCCGTCCGGAGCCCGCATTAATAGTACAAGTACAATACAAGTACTGGCAGTAGTACTGTACTAGTACTAGAGTAGTAGTAGCAGCAGCAGCAGCAGTAGTAGCGGCAGCAGCCGCAGCAGTGGTAGTGGTAGTGGTAGTGGTAGTGGTAGCGGTAGCGGTAGCGGTAGCGGTAGCAGTAGGAGTAGTAGTAGTAGTAGTAGTAGCAGCAGCAGCAGCAAAGCGTGATTTCACCATGTTCCACAGGGTCGGCACAACGACCAATCGTTTTGGTCACAGAACACCGTGTCATTTTGGCAAGTTTGGTCATTTGCCGGACGGGGGCCTATGCCACTTGTGCCACTTGCACCGCTACCAAATTAACCCCTTTCCGTGGCCGGCTTAAATAGGGTCTATTTGGCAACTGGAACTGTGGGTTTTAATTTTCAGATGCAAGGATTCCTTTGTAGGTTTGTGTTGTCTGTGCAGACAATATGAGGTCTGCGATGTACAGGTTTCTGACGCGTGGAGTTGTCAACCGCGGGAGCACATCACGGCTGTGACGCCATGAAGCGATTCCCAAGTACGGCAACGACAAGAGGATCAATCCCTGAAGAGATGAGGGGGGCACTCCATGCCAACGCCAGAAGATATTGAGAATTCCCAGTACCAGCGCCAGAAAACATGAGAGGCCGCTCGTGGCGATAAGGGTTTCAAGCGGACCTTCAACAGCAAAGGTGAAGGGGACATTGCTTACGAATGAGGATTTCAAGAGGATCACCACCAGAAGAAATGAGAGGCACACTCCTTTTCGAGGTTGAGATGTCAAGAGCATCCCTACCAGCACGCATGCAGAGATGAAGGGGACACCCCTTGCGAAAAAGAGTGTTCTAGAACATCATCGCCAGAAAAGATAAGGAGGGCCCTCCTTAGACTGAGGGTGTCTTAGTGGATCAAGGGGGGCACGCATTGAGGAATTGCTTGCAGCTGGGAATATCGACAAGAACGTCGCCAGATAAGATGAGGGGGGGACAGTGCTTGCGATTAGAATCCAGAGGGTCAGCACTAGAAGTGTTGACCGGCACACCCTCTGCTAAGAAGAGTGTTCTAGAGCATCGCCACCAGGAAAGATAAGGGGGACACAGCTTGCGCGGGAACAGTTGATGATCCTCTCATCACCAGAAGTAATGAGGGGAGCACGGCTGGTGATTCAGGGCTTGAAGAGTGTAAGCATCAGGCAAGGTGAAGGGGACACTTCTTGCGACTGACGGTTGCAGGAGATCAACTCCAAAATAGAAAATGGGCACATTGCTTGCGATGGAGGATCTCAAGAGATGGGGCGGGCACTTATTGCGACTCAAAACTTCCCTGCAAAGCCGCCTATTTCTCCTGGATACGACTAGTACTATGACTACTACTACTACTACTACTACTACTACTACTACTACTACTACTACTACTACTACTACCACGACAAGGGGCACGATTGGAGAGGGCGGGGTGTGGGCCGGGGGGGAGGAC